GGGAGGCGCGAGTGGTCAGGAGCCCGGGCCCTCAGGCCGCACAGGTCGGCCCGGGCTCACTCGGGGGAGGGGACCCGGTGCCCGCGGCACTGTGGGTCACCCGGACAGAAGGTTCCAGACGGCCCTGGTTGACGATGCCCTGAGTCTCCTCAGCGGCGGCTCCATCCCTGAGTGTGTCTGCGCACGCCTGCGTACTCGCGTGTGGACACGTGCCGGGGGGGGGTGTGCAGCGCGCGGACACGCATGTGGCAACTGGGGGGCTCAGGCTTTGGGACTGGTGGGCTGTCCGCCGAGGGAGTCCTGAAGAAGCGGGGTGCAGGGGCTGGGGAGCCGGTCCGGCTCAGTGGCCACGCTGGGCTGGCTGGTGACGTCTCTGGGACCCTGTGGAGAGAGGGGGGGGGGGGGCGCTGGGTCACCAAGCCCCGCCCACACCCCGGCCCCGCCCCCACACCCTCCCGCACGGAAACAGCCCCCTCCGAGTCCCCCTCCGCAGCGCCCACTTATCAAGCCGGAGAGGAGAAAAGCCTGGAGTGACATACAGCGCCCCCCCCCCCGAACGCGGTTACGAGGGCCCCCCTCTCTCACTGAACACTGCCCTCGCCCCATTTCAGAGGTGGGACAACCGAGGTCCAAAGGGACTTGCCTAACACAGTGAGAAGGCCAAGGCCGGGAATCCAGGGCTTATATGCGATACTGTTAACCCCAAACTGGAAACCACCTAAATGTCCACCGATAGAAGAAACGCACTTTTATTTTTTTTATTTTTATTTTATTTTTTTTTTTTTAAGTTTTTTTTTTTTTTAACGTTTATTTACTTTTGAGACAGAGAGAGACTGAGCATGAATGGGGGAGGGTCAGAGAGAGAGAGAGGGAGACACAGAATCCGAAACAGGCTCCAGGCTCCGAGCTGTCAGCCCAGAGCCGGACGCGGGGCTCAAACTCACCAACCGCGAGATCATGACCTGAGCCAAAGTCAGACGCTTAACCGACTGAGCCACCCAGGCGCCCCAAGAAACGCACTTTTAAAATACAGTCACAGGACGGCATTGAGCCTGGACAGCTTTCACAAACAGAAACCCGAGGAAAGGAAAGCCAGCGGCAGAGTGACCCATGTGCCATGACGGCAGGGGGACAACTTTGTTAACCATCTCTTGTTCGTGGATATATGTATACAGACTTAGAGGGGAGAAGCCCACACACCAATATCCCCAAATCCTCTGGGGGGAAAGGTGAACAACCAGGACGAGATGGTAACAATTAATGCTGTTGGGGCGCCTGCGTGGCGGGTAAGCGTCCAACTCTTGAGTTCGGCTCAGGTCACGGTCCCACGGTCGTGAGTTCGAGCCCCGAATCAGGTGCTGCGTTGACAGCATGGGGCCTACTTGGGATCCTCTCTCTCAGTCTCTCTCTCTCTCTCTCTGCCCCTCCCCTGCTCATGCTCGCCCTCTCTTTCAAAATAAATAAACTTAAAAAAAAAAAAAAGGAACTGTTTTCAAAAAGTTAATATTGTTGAGTCCGGGTGAGAGGGAACATCACATACTATAATTTATTTACTTTTACGTTTTTAAAAGATTTCTCAACACCTCTGTTAAAGACAGCGATGTTGAGGGGCGCCGGGGTGGCTCAGTCGGTTAAGCGTCCGACTTCAGCTCAGCTCAAAGCTCGCGGTTTGGGAGTTCGAGCCCCAAGTCAGTGTCTCTGTGTCTCCCTCTCCCTCTGCCCCTCCCCTGCTCATGCTCTGTCTCTCAATAATAAATGGTAAAAAAAAAAAAAAAATTAATAATATAAAATTTAAAAAAAAAAAAAAAAGACAGCAATGCTGAGGAGCGCTTGAGTGGCCCAGTCGCTTAAGCGTCCGACTCCACAGGTCATGATCTCATGGTTCGTGGGTTCGAGCCTGGCATCGGGCTCTGTGCTGACAGCTCGGAGCCTGGGGCCTGCTTCGGATTCTGTGTCTCCCTCTCTCTCTGCCCCTCCCCTGCTGGTGCTCTGTCTCTTTCTCTCTCTCTCAAAAATAAATAAACATTAAAAAGAAAAAACAGCAACGTTGATAAGAGGCTTATCGTCCCTCTGAGCCCTGAAGAAGGGAGAGGCCTCGGGGCCCAGCAGTGTGGCCAGGACACCCTGAGGGCCTGTGGCCACTTGTGCCTCATTCCCAAACCCCAAGGGCTTGCTTCTCCGGGCAGTGAAGAAAATCAACCCCTTCCCGCCCTCCCGTGTTTACCACCCCCAGGTGGGCAGGACACAGGGAAGGCTTGGACCCCTGTCCCTCTGGGACAGATCTAAGGCTTCCAGGGTTGAGCCACATTCAAGCCAGGGGCAGGAATAGGGGGAGGGGCGGGGAGGCCAGGCCAGAGTGAGACCAGACTTGCACCCCTCCCCTCCACCACAGAGAGACCGCATGGGGACACCCAGGGGTGCCCAGAACCTCAGCAACGTGGCCCAAAGAGTCACAACTTAAGAAAGCCTTGCTCAGAAGTACAAAGGGAAACTAATCCCAGGCTGTGACAGGGGCCCTGGTCCATCCCAAGGAAGACACACGTAACAGATCCGCAAGGAACCAGAAGGTGAACCACATTCCTCCTCTTCCTATTTCCTTCCACTTTCATTTGGCTGAGGAATGAAGACTTAGAACGGGAGAGAAATCGCTGAGAAGGTAGGACAGGTCCAGGAATATTTCCCTGAAGGGTTTCCATATACGGTTGTCTAAGATGTTCACTGCACAAAGGCACGGCAAATGGGTTATCATGTTCCGTTTGCCAAGCCCTCTGCCCTAGAGCTGGCCAAGTCTGCCCAAGAGTGGCCATCTTCCTTCTCGATATGAGAACACCCTTCCGGGCTAGTGGAGGCCCCGTGTCCTGCTCTCTCCCAGGCAAGGCCACCCCTCGAGACCACTCCCATGCCCAGGTACGAGGCAAGGTGGGGGGCCTCCTCCAGGGACCCAGGCTGAGGCTCCGTGCAGGCTGGGGCCACCATGCCGGGGTTCCAGGTCTCCAGGACCATGGTCACCTCCCAGGTGCCTGGCCCCCAAACCAGAGCCTACAGGGCACTGCTTTCCCCAAGTACCCCACCGGGGGCAGAGGCAGCGTCATCCGGCCTGGAGGCCGAGCTGCCTTCCGCGAGGCAGGGCACTAGAATCTCTCTAAGTCAGAAACTTCCCTAACAACTTGGAAACTGGATTCTGGGGGCAAAATGCAGAGGAGACCCCAGTTTTCTTTCTGTGTTATTGGGAAGAGGGTGAGGGGACACTGGAAGGAAAGGGGGACTAGCCCGGGGGCCATGTTCTCAGGAGGACACCCCGTGTCCTGGGTGTCCAGCCCTGGGACACCCTGACGTGCTCAGGCCCCGGCCTCCTATTCCCCAGTTGTCAGGAGGAGCCCCCCAGGGCCTGGCTGGGGACACAGCTGCCCCTCCCTCCGCCTCCTCGCACCTGTCAACACAAACAGGCCTGCGCTCACGACTTCGCATTTTCTATTTTCTTTCCGCCTCCGGCCCTGGCAAACGACGCCGACTGGAGGCAGCCAACTGGCCCCAAAGAGCAGGGTGGCGGCCTCCCCCTCGTTCCGTGGCTCCCAAGAAGCCTACTTCAACCCGAGCCCGCGCAGCCCCAGAAGCTCGAGGGGGCGGTGCAGTTTTGAGAAGCCAAAGTGACAGCTGTTATCAGAGGTCCAAAACCCACGCGCGTCCCAGTAACTGCATGGGACACACCTACCCTAAACCCTTGTCACCGTTTACTGAACGTCCACCTCTCACCGGGACCCCTTCGTCGTTCTTGTTTCCTGTGGGGGCGGGGGGCGTGTTTGTGCGTCTGTTTTTGCTGCGTCTGGCCAAGCTACCCTCTCGGGCTGAATCCGGGGTACCCGGTCGGTGCCCACTTGGTGCTTAGGTTCTTTCTCGGTCAGTCCTCCCAGATGTATTGAGACTCGTGTTTCTCAAACGTTGGATCGTCCGCATCAGAATCCCCTTGTTGGGGGGGTGGGGGGGGGCAGGGGGGGTCCATGAAAATACAGATCCCCGGG